AAACTAAGTGACGTCATATGGATCGTCTCCGAGCTTGCAAAGAAATAATGAAAATAAAGTTTTTCCAATACTAAATGGATACATGGTAGGTCGTTAGTTTTTGTCTTATGTACATTTTTCAGTCATAGTTCAGTATTCGTGGTGAAATATAACGATATTGATCAWGAGTCCGAAAAGATCTCAAATTTCTGAAAGTAGTAGAATATTAATTGTTAAGTGRCGCAAAAGAAGGAAAAACATACGGTTTCTTAAATTTTTTCTATTAGAATAAAAATTAACTAAAAGAGATATTATTCCAGTGATTTACATGAAATACAACTGAAACCATTTTTAGTAGTAAGTACCGAAACTATTGCAGCAGTAATACTAATAGATGGTTAACTTATCAAACTCATTATATAAAGAGCGCATAATAATTATTCTTAAAACCAGACTGATTTCATTAATACACGCATCTTTCAGCGATATGGAAGCAATCACAGTTAATCACTGAAAAGTTATCTAAGGATTCAACATACCTCATGTGGCTCTTATCCTTAACCTTTGTCCGCCAACACATGTTAACCATAAAACACCACATGCCATGCAGCTGGGAGGATCGGAGAACGTGAGATCTATGACTAAAGGATCGAAAGGATCAACGTTCTTCTATCGTCTCTAGGTCGTCATTGTTCCCATGAGATGATGCGAGACATAGGTGTCGGAGCACGCTCATTTAATAAAGAGTTCTCATGTAAAATTTTCATCCCATGGAAAATTTTTAAACCATTGTTAATGCCGGGATGTCAGAAACCTAACGATAAACAACACTAACACTTTAGGTTTTTTTCGAAATACAGATATGAAAATAAAACCAACCGTCACCGGACCGATAGAATAATTATTAAACAATTCTGACCTAAAAGGAAATGTGTAGAACTTTTTCTCACGATCTAAAAGGAAGAGTATTGAGTGTTCTCGAATAGTCTAAATATGAATTTTCGAAACTAAGAAGTATTAAAAACAATTATTGAATTAGGATTCCTCGACGTATACTTGCGCGATAAAAGATTACCCAAACATTTTTAAAAATGTTATAGATGCATTCCAAAAAAAGCTATTAAAATATTTAAAGTTTTATATTTCGTGAATGGTTTAATTAAAAAATTGGAAAAGAATCAGAAAGCTCTTTTTCACGGAGTACAAAATAATAATAAAATTGAAAATAAATCAAAAGTATCAAATTTTACAGTAAATTGAATTGGCATGCAATGTCACATATATTACTAAAATTTGGCAAGTAACAGAATTTTTTTAAATTTCTTTCCTTCGTGCTTTCAAAAACTCGCAAGAACCAACAAGTGACCCTTATTTTTTGTTTGTTCTTTATTTCGCGCTTTCGATATTTCTAGAATACACGTATATAATAATTCCTTGCATACTCGTAGCAGTAACTCACACCCTTTCACTTCGCAACGTCACGCGTTTCATTATCCCTTCTTCGATTTTTCTTTCAGACTTTTATGGTTTGTACGTTTTCATCGTACCTCACATACACATCCAAAACTGTCTCGTTCATAACACTAATTCAATCATCCATACCACTACAAAATATTCTGTAAGATTGATTTTAGATATATAAATATCTTTTAAGTATAAATGCATAGGTGCCATTACCAAAACACATTTTGTAAGAATAATACTGATTTTGTAGAATTTTGCATGTATAAAATAATTCAGGAATATAATGATTAAAGTAAAAAATGTTTACTTAATGAACTTAAATAGACAGTTTCGTTAAATTGTATATTGATGTTGGGTATATACTGATAATTTAATATAACCGGTGACTATGTCTTAGTTATAAAAATATAACATTACATGTGTTAAATCAAAAACTACATTATTAAAAACTTTTTATATTATGCAAGATTACTATTTAAGGTAAGAAGCATAGCTTTTTTGTTTTTTCTTTTATTTTACATTCACATACGTAGTATTTTAACCGATGTTTATAGCCTCTGACATTATTCATGTATCAATTATACTGGTTTTACATGCTTCCCGTGCTAGTAGAAGATTTTTTTATAGTGTGACATTATTTAATTACTTGATTATTTTAATGAATATTTAACATTTTAAATTTACGTTGATTATAGGTATGATTATTTTGTTTTATTTATTTACTGTTTAAGGCCAGTAATTAATTTGAACTGGATTATATGCTATTCGAATTCTTTGTTGCATTTCAATTTCAATGGCAATTTTTATTGCATTATAAAACGATAATTTATGATATCTACTTAGATAAAATTTAATTTCTGCATTCTAGATTCTAATAAAGAATTGTTTGCATAATCTTTCATCAAAGCAAGTTACATAACCAAATTCGTATAATATTTTTTTTACACTTATAGCATGTTTTTCTACCGTTTCTCGTGGATATTGATACCAACATTTGAAACGTTTTCTATATGAAGAAATTATATTAAATTTGGAAATAATTTTACCGTACTAGTTTCTTATCTCTTTGTAAGAAATTTCAGAGAAACTTACAGCAGAGGATTCCTTCTCGAAACTTCTTTGAAGTTTATTATCCACCATATTCTTGAAAAATGTAACCATTTCAGATTCTTGTATCCCAAGAACATCAACTACATACTCAAATTCATTTAACCAAACGTTAAAATCAATTTGCTTTTCTGGATTGTAAATATTCATCATTGTAAGAGCTTGATCAACCATATACTTCATTAAATCAATTTTTGAAAATTCAATGGCTTTTTTTACCGCATCATTGAATGTTAATCCACGAGTAATACATAAAAAAGATCTATTAGGATTGTCTCTGATTCCTTTAATAAATTGTACGCATAGTTCTTCTTCTGGGACACTTTGATAGATTTTATAGCATTTATTATAAATTTTTAGTAATCTATTAGCATATTCCTCTATCGATTCTTTGTTATATTGTTTACGAAATTTAAAACGTCGTCTGTGTAGATAATCTTCATTGGGGGAAAAAAAACGAAGGTAATGGGTTATTATCTTCTCGTATGGAAGTTCAGAGACATTGATGACAGGACTAATATTTTGGATACGTTCATGGACATTACTATTCACCATTTTAAAGAAAACTTCACCCATTTGATATTTTGATATACTTATAATATCTGCTGCGTATTCAAATCTATTTAACCAGCAATTAAAATCTTCTTTTTCTGAATCGTAAATTTGCATTACTCTACTAGCTTGATTTAGATACCCGATTATGGTACTATCATTATCTGATGAAAACTTATCACTCATTTTCTTCTCAAAAGAAAACCCTCTTTATTACTTATTTTTCGTAAATATATAATCAGTTAAAAGTTCTTTGTTATTTTTCTCTCTTAGCAATAACAGTAGTATACTTTTCGTAATGTAATTTAAAATAATTTTCTTTTAGTAACACGTATACGTTTTATATTTTATACGATATTTTTGACATTTATATAGAAGTAACCGATCTCCGTGTCGTAACGAATATTAAAAATCATTTTTAAAAACTATAAAATTAACGAGATTAAACATGTAACTGCTTAACTAGAATCTTAACAGTTTTACGTATGCTTAACGACAATTTAATTTAAACTTTATTGTTTTTAGATAGAAATGTGTGGAAATGGAAATTTATTCTACGTACTACATTAGTCCTTGGTAGGGGTAATAATAAAAGTGACAAGGAATACAATAAACATTTCATGTAATATAATATATTTAATTTAAATGTGGAACAAAATAAACAGTTACTTTATCCTTCTGATGATGTATTATATAATAAACGAACTCTATGATATTGACGTAAAAATGTTTTCATAATATTCTTATAATTATTAATTACTCTCCAGTATAAATTTATTAGATATAAAATAATGGCCAGGTCTGCTTCGACTTTATACATTTAAAAGTTTTAATTAAGGCCTCCTAAAAAATAATTCATAAAGAATCCCTACGCGAATGTAGAATCCTATCACTTTATTTTGCCTTCCTACGTAATATCTGGCGAAAAAAAAAGAGTTCCGATAATTTTGATGATACTTTCGTTTAATAAGAGAGCCTGTCACAAAGATGCAATATATTTTCATAAATAAAATTATAAAATAATACTAATGCAATAAAACGAGTTCAATGTTTGACTATTTGACGCTAAATGCCTTTCCAGATCTTTTTTTCTTTATGCACCGTTTATGTTTCGCTATAAGAAAGTCTATCGTTTTCGATGTTCAAATTCTTGAGTCGGTTTCCCACTCCGGCCTTTCGTTTAATAATCTCACACTCTATGTCTAACACATAATAACGATTCGTCTTACTCGTCACCACACACATACATAAACATCTTATAAATGTATATTTTTATAGTAAAAATTTTAGGTAAAAAAAAAAATATTTTCACATAAAAATTATCCCTTTTCGTCTACGTATTTCATTTTTACAAAAGATTATTGTCGAGAACATATTTTTATGTCGTATATATAAATATATTTCTAATATTATATGAGTTCAAAATCTAAATATTGAACTTTTTCGATAAAGTGCAAGAATACTGTTTCAGAATAAAGAAATAGCTTCTTGGTTTACTTTGAATTATAAAACACAAAAAATTACCCAGAATAACAAACCATTTATCTTTTTTTATTCATTTATTGTTGTAGTACCTGTAATACTTGACGCATTGTTATTCAATTTTAAACAAATTATTACACTAGGATTTTTTCATAAAAACGTGAAAGTGCCAATGCTTCAGTTACGTCGAATGATAGGTCAGGAGATTTACGTAAATAAATTCTTATTTCATCGTCGAGGAGTCCTTCACGGAATCGTTCACATACTTGTTTATCTGAGGCATAGGCATTATTGCACTTGGAATATATTTTCTGCAAATTTTCAGCATATCTCTCTATCGATTCTTGTTCATATTGATTTCGACACAGGAAACGATTTCTATGTAAGTCAGTTTCACCGACAGATGCAAAATGAAAAAGGTAATAATTTATTATCTGGTCGTATGAAAGTTCAGAGAAGTTGATAAAGGGGTTGGCTTTCTTTACATGCGTATGAACATCATTATCGACCATATAATTAAAGAATTTAATAATTTCATTATCTGATAGTATGATTGTATCTGTGACATACTCAAATTTGTTTAACCAGACATAAAATACTTCTCCCTTTTCCGGATGGAATGTAGGTATCCTTGCAAGACCTGGATTCAGATGGGAAATGGTGTTTTTAAATTCTGTTAATTGAATGGCGAATTGTTCTATTTCATCAAATGAAAAGCTAGGAAATTCTTTCAGAATAGTTTTTATTTCTTTGTCATAGATTCCATCAAGAAATCGTCGGCATATTATTTTTTGTGGGTCATTTAAATTACTGCACTTATTATATATTTTCCTTAAATTACAAATATATTCCTTTATCGTTTCAGTTTCATATTGACTTCGACCTAGGAAACGTTTTCTGTGTAAATCAGTTTCATCGTCAGAAGAAAAATATTGAAGGTAATAGTTTATTACCTCGTCATATGAAAGTTCAGAGAAATTGATAGAAGGGTTAGCTTCCTGGACCTTAAGGTGGATATCAGAACCGAGCGTTTCATTAAAGGTTTCAAGAATGCTCATATCTTCTATTTTAGCAATGCTTAGTATATATTCAAATTTATTTAACCAGTCACCAAACGTACCTTCATACTGTGGACTGTAAGAATCAATCAATACAAAATTTTTATTTTTTAAAGTATATCTTTCTTTCAATCTTGTAAACTCAATGGAAATTGATACTATGTCAACAAATGATAAAGAATTATGTACTTTAAAGTAAAGTTTTATTATTCTCTCGCGGATTCCATGAAGGAATTGTTTACATAGTTTTATTTCTAGGTAATCGTTATAATGGCATCTAGCATATATTTTTCGTAATCTTACAGCATAATTTTGTATCGCCTCTAGTTCATATTGTTTACGACATAGAAAACGTTTTCTGTGTAAGTCAGTTTCATCGGCAAAAGCAAAATATTTAAGGTAATAGTTTATTATCTCGTCGTATGAAAGTTCAGAAAAGTTGATAGAAGGGTTGGCATTTTTGACATTCGTATGAACGTTATCATCGACCATAGTATTAAAGTATTCAACCATTCTATGATTTGATACATTAAGAACATCTGCAACATACTCAAATTTATTTAACCACACGTAAAATAGACCTTCATTTTCGGGACTGTAAGTATTGATTGTTGGATGAGTTTCACTTTCACGATTATTTAGTCCTTCAAATTCTGCTATTTCAAGGACCTTTTCTACAGTTTCATTATATGGTAAGATAGAAAGTTTTCTTATATGAGCTTTAATATCATTGTCACAGAGTCCATTAATGAATTTTTCACATAATTTTTTTTCTCTTTCATCTCTATACGCGCACTTCTTATATATTTTCTGTAAACTGTTAGCATATTTTTCTAACGGCTCTTGTTCATATTGATTTCGCTGTACAAATCGAATTCTGTGTACATACTTTACATCCATAGTAGTAAAATAACGAAAGTATTGGTTTATTATTTCTTTGTATGAAAGTGCAGAGAAGTTAACAGAAGGGTTGTTTTGCTTGATAACTTCTTGATCATTATTATCCACCATTTTATTAAAAATTTCAACCATTTTATCGTTTGGTATCTCGATCATATCTGCTATATACTCAAATTTATTTAACCACAAACAAAACGAATATTTATTCAACTTTTTGTAAGGACGTAGCAATAGCAGAACTCGTTTTTCATAATCAGTTTCTTCATTATTTTCGGGTAATAAATCCTCGTTACTCATTATTTTTTAAATAAAAAACGCTTTATATTTCTTTTTGCACAAAAATCGATAATATTGTAAAAGTTATCTGTTCTGATTTTTCTTTGCTTTGGCAATAACCTTAATTCACTTTTCTTTTAAGAACACGTATATGATTTAAATTTTCCGTTATTTTTTTTACATGTATATATAAGTAAAAGATATAAGTTTTTAATGTATATTAAAATTAATTTCAAAAACTATAAAGTTAATGAAAATAAACGTTAAAACTTATATTACTTTAAGTAATGATTTAACAGTTCAACATATTCTTAACGACTAACTATTTAAACCTTATTGCTTTTATATAGGAGTGAAGAGGGAAAAATATTCAATATTCTACAAATGTCCTTAGTAGAAATAATAATACATTTACCAGTAAACACAACAAACACTTCCTTAAATATAACAAATTTAATTGTGTATCAGTTATTAAATCCTTTTGATGACGTTATGATTTTATATATAGACTAGAAGACAAAGTCAACGCAAAAAGATTAACCATGCAAACTAGTATTCATTTCTTATGCTTTTTACAATCTTATGTATGCGTATTTTCAAGTATTTCATTTTAAGTCTCTCTTCGATGAACTTTAAGTTCTTTAAAGGTGTATTATCAAGGACATTAAACGAAAAAGAATACATTTCAGTGAGAGATGTAATTAGAATTTTAATAAAAATATTTCATAAATTTATTATTATTCAAAATATAGTTCGCTTACTTTAATTTTACAAGCAGTCAAGAGTAATTCTGTGAAAATGTCCTTAAGTCGTTTAGAATCGTATTATTATTCTGCTTATTCTGATGACATGCCATCAAAGTAAAAGCGATACATTACATAGCAATAAATCTTTCTTTTGATAAAGAGATATTTTTCTACCAAAGGTTAGTAATTATCTTCTATTTTTGAAGCATAGGTTGTTAACTTATCTAATATTTCTTTTCAGTATAGCTAAGAATTTGTCAAGTTGATTTGTTTTATAAATCTGTAAAAAGTGTCTTTACTAGGGTAAGGAGTAGTTTTTATAAATTTGGATCGGTCATTGCTGTTATTCTATGACTAACCGTCTTTATAATAGTTGTAAAACATATTATTTATTCTATTTTCCAGGGTTACACTTTAAATACTACATGTGGTTAGAATCCTCATGTATTAATAGTCGTTTTCGATTCCATTACTGGTCTGTTACTGCACCTGGCAAATCACTGATAAGGACTTCCGGACGAGATAGTTCGTTTTTCATCGTATGTTTTGGCTTTTCCATTCGTTTTTTTATCGATAGACAATTTCTCTCTTATTTACTGCCAAATATTATATCTTCTGCAACACAGTTTCTTCGTCTTATACTCACAGTTGCAATTACCACTTTTTCTATCTTTACCATATTGTCTTGGTCATTTTAAGGGGCTCCTTTCTTAACGTGGAAAATTCTCAGTTCTAGAAAATCAACACCAATAAGCAACTTCTTGTTTCAAAATAGCACCTGAAAGAACTCAAATTAAAATTGAGAAACGGTTTTCATCTATTGTTACTTCTGTCGTAAACACTCCCAATGCTGCATATGCTAGCGATTTGATTTTTGAATGTTTACTAGC